TTTATTTAGTTAGGAAGTTGTTGGGCTTTTGGCCCATTAGTTTATGTTTTTTAAGTTGTGACTGTTCAGCTTTTAGTAGCCACCCTACTAAGGGCATCCTTGTAATATCTCATCTTTTTAAGTTAAGTATAAATATAATGAGAGGGGGGCAGCTAGGGTTGATTTTTTTTCACAATCTTGGTTGACTTCCTACTCTCTTCTTCTTCTCCTTTCTTCTCTACTGCTGAAATCTTCATCTTCCCCCTCTTTCCTTCACAAGAAACTCGACTAAATATGCAATTAGTGATCTCTACTCTAGGCGTAGCCCTTTCAAAAGGCGCACGCCTAGTGCGCCTTGCGCCTCAGACCAGGCGTGCGCCTTCCGAAAATTTGATGCTTTTTCCTTTTTTTGAGTCTAGTGGTTGGGCCGGAGGCTCCGGCCCTGGACCCCTGTACCACGCCCCTCAAGGCCAGTCCAAACAAGTCCATGTTAGGCCAGCCGAAACAAGGCCATGCCCCTCGTGAACCCCCTATTTGGTAATGTTGTCCATTCATTCATCCTAATAAAATATCTTCTTAAAAAGCAATTAAAGCTATACAATCATTATTTTTTTTGTGTGAAAACTAAGAATTTAAGACCCTAATATGGACTTGTTTGTGCTTGCCTCGAGGAGCGTGGCACAAAGGCGGGTCATAGAATTAGGAATGTAATATGTCACATTAGCTACTTGACGTAATGTAATTGAGAAAAAAAAGAGATTGTGGGTTTTATATGCTTGAAAATGTTTTATATATTTGATTTCATTTTTAAATTCTCATTTGAATATGCTTTACATATTATGTTTATGTATTTTATTTTTAGATAATAGGCTTTTAAAACATTTATTTTAAAATTTAAGTTTATATTTTTATTAATATTATGTTTTATATTTTTTGATTTTTTTTGCATTTTTTTTTGCATTTTTTAGCTTTTTTTTATTTTTAGCAATTTTTTTTTTTGTATTTTTGCGCCTTGCTTCATAAAGGCGTGCGCCTTGCGCTTTTAAAGCCCTGGTGTTGGAATTGAAAAACTTTCTTAGGAAGTATGAGGATATTTGCTATTTTACACCATGATTTCATTAATTATATCGCCTTCAATTTACCTGCAGGTTAATGGTTTGATAACAGATTTTGGTGAGGATATGCATTGCCAGTTTCTTGAAATTCTTCGCAGTTTATTGGACCCGTACACATTATCTGGATCTCAGGTGCAATGATACTTTGTGTTCTTGTGTAACTTTTGTTCTCTGTTTATAGTTAGTTAGATTGATTTCAAATTTCTTTATAAGTGGAAGGGTTAGCCTGTCAGCCTATTTAAATGCTAATAAGGAGCGTGTTTCTGTGCAAAATATAAGAATTTATTTTGTTATGTTATTTTTGGTGAATGCTGTGTGAAAAACGTCTTTCTTTTTTGATAATTGAAATTTAATTCATTAATCAAAGCTATGCTAAGTCACAAGACTACAATCTATGCTATTAATGCTAACCGAATGAACTAAAAGGCTGTTTGGAATATTTCAATTCTTTCAGAATTTAGATTTGTATATTGTTCTATAGTATGTTTTTCTTTTGTTTTCTTTTTCCCACCTGTCACCACTGTTCAGTCATGTGCCTCATCAGATTGTAGGAACTCCTTACACTTTAGTTGTGCTTTAAAACCCTGTTTAGTGTTTTTGTGAGAATTGTTTGTGTTTTTTTCTGACTGTTACCTCCAACACTATCATACTTCCATTTTTTTCTGGATGCAAATCTTTCCTCTTTCAAGAATTTTATTGTATTTAATTTCAACGAAAAACTTACCAAACCTTTCTCTACTTATTTCTTCTTTTGATGTAGAAGGCCAGCAGAAAAGACAGAGCTGATTGTGGTTAAGAATAAAACGTTATTGCAATCATCCATAATTAGACTGGACTTTGGAGGCAGTTGTTGTATTATTTGACATTTTGAATGGTGCCAAAGGAGTGGCTTCTGCTGCCCTTTTGGTGCTATGTTTTTGAATAAAAGCCTCGAGTTTTAAGTGTTTTCTTGAAATTGTAGTTATCAAATTTATCTATTGGTAAACATAATTTATCGTGTTGGATTTTGGGGGCTTCCACTAAGGCCTTATTTCATTGCATGTTTAGTTTTGTTATTACAGAGGTGTTTGTCATCATGCATATCTTTGTTTTTGAAACGAAGACCTGTCATTATCAGCATAGACAATTTATTTTTGCTGATGTAGCAGTTTTCAGTTTGATAAACAAAATATATAGCAATTGATTATAATCCTTTTTAGCTGGCTATTTTGGCACAATGGTACTGATAAGTTGGGATTGACTGAGCGATCTAGAGGGGTTACTGATCAAATGGCAAAGGAGAGGGAGAAAGGTTTTTCTCACGACCAAAACTTTGGAGGGTCTTAAGGTTGCATGGCAAAGCAAAGAAGTGAGTTTGAGAAATCTTGCACAGATAAGGATAAATTTTGTCTAGGGACGAGAAGAGTCCTGTTAGGGAGAAGATTGCAGGAGCTGGAGAGATTACAGAAGTGTGAAATAGGAATGATTTCTGAAGTGCACAATGAGTATCAGGCCTGGGAGTGTTTCTGTTGACTCAGATATGAGTCATGTGATTTTCAACAGTGGATTGAACTCCAATTTGGTTTTGAGTCTTGGTGATAAACAAAGAAAGCATTGACAAGGCTTTGGCTGAAAATGAAATTGAAAGAAGGGTTTCTGAGCCAGATTTAGAGAAGGAATGTTGACAACAAGGGGACTTGTAAAAGAAAAACAGGGTACTGTACTAGGTCTCTGCACTATGTGAATGAGGTTTCAGCTGATGAAAAAGAAGGAAAGGAGGATGGTTCAATTGAAGAATGTTGTTTAGGGAGTTGGAAGAAAGATTCCCAATGCCTAAGCATCAGGGGAAAGGAAATTTGAATGATCTTGTAAAGATGGATATCAACTCAAATTTAGATATGGCTCAAAAGAATAAAGTGATGTTAAAGGTTTTGGAGTGGTTTATAGAGAGGAGGGAAAGTTATTGTCTTCCAAGGTGTTTGAGAGAAATGTAATTTTGGAACTGAAAAGAATAAATGAGGGACAAAAGACTAGGGAGATTTTCAAGAAGCCAAATGTGGAAAGAAAATTTAGCAGTCAGAAAAATATTACAACCGTTCAGGTCTCAGAGTCTTTGCACGATGTTAGGATGTTCTTTTCTTTGAGTCTTTATATTCTTTAAATAGTGTGGGCCACCAGGTGTAGAACTGTAATTTTAGTGCTTATATTTTATCAGCCTAGTATAAATAAAGCATGGAGCGCTGCCAGCCCAGATTTTGGCACTCTAAAACATTTGTTCTCTTCTCCTCTCTTTCCTTTCTCTTCTCTTCTTTTCACTGTACAATCAGATCTTGAATGAAAACAGTTGTGATGGTTTTATTTGTAAGGTGTTATTTGGTATACTCTTCTTTTTGTTTTAATTGGGGTATTTTATTGGTTGGTGTGGTGAAGTCTTTGTGTTGGGGGGTGCAAATCTTGTTTCTCAGTGGGCAGGATCTTGGAGAAGTAGGGTGTTTTTCTGTTTTTTCTTTCCTCGGTTGACCACTGGTCACCTTCCTTTGTACTCGTTTTTATTTTAAATAAATTTTTTTCTTCTATTACCAAAAAAAAAAAGACTGAACTGTCTCATGCATTGGGTATTTTTCTCTTTGTAATTGCATGGCATCTTAATTCTTACATGGCATAGTTGTATGTATATATTGTTTATATGGTATTGTGCATATGGTATCTATTGGAGTTTTTACCTGCAGGTAGGACATTGAATGTTCATTTGTATTTGAAAATGTTTTCTGGTCTGAATTGCTGGAAAATCTTACCAGTGAATTGGCATGTAAGAACATATAAGTAATCTCCATTTTTATTTTTACGTATGATAATGCTGTTGTATTCATAATACCCATTGTTGTGTATTGACTTTTGTTTTTATCCTTTCATTTTGTTGCAGAGAGACTCAATCATAGAGATTTTCTATGAGAAACATTTGGATCATCTAATCGATCTTGTAACATTATCATGCCCTCCAAGGGGTATTGGCAAATCAACTGGTTCTGGTGAAATGACTGTAAATCAAACTGCAACAAAGCCGGAAATCTTGTCAAACATTTGTGAACTGCTCTGCTTTTGTGTTCTTCATCATCCATACAGGATAAAGTAATTTTTATTTCCTTTCACTATTCACTATTTAAAATTGATATGTTGATTTTTTTATCCTGATGTGAAGCTTTTGATAAGATGTTCTGTTCTGTTTGTAGGTCCAGTTTTCTTGTCAATAATGTCATAGAAAGAGTCTTATTTCTTACTTGCAGAAGAGAAAAGTACCTAGTCGTCGCTGCTGTTCGATTTATGCGCACTATTATTTCCCGAAATGTGAGTGGTTTAAGCTTGAAAGAAGTTGAATATACATGGGCCCCACTGTGAAAATGTTCAGTGGGCTGTGGAACCAATGAAAATGTTCCATGCCAGTAATAAATTCATGGGCCCCACTGTGAGAGGTACAGGTCCCATGTATTTTATTACTGGCGTGGAAAATTATCATTGATTCCACAGCCCGCTGAACAGCCATCGCGTTCAGCTAATCCTTACTCGTTGGGTTGCCACTGTAACCTAATACTGAATGAATGGATAGAAAATGGTACCAATCTTGTGATTGTAATAGCTTTCTTTGGTCTTGTATCCTCTTGCTGGTAACTATTAGTTAGCATGTGATTCACATCTCAGTCGGGAATAAAGCTCCACAAAGAAAATGGCCCTAGTTTTACAGTGTCTCTCTTTGCCTTCATTTTGAATACCAATTGAGAAGAAGTCTCCCCAGAAAGCTTCTCAAAGAAAGATGCAAAAGAAAAAATAAAAAAACGAGTGAAATTCATAAGTTGGGTTTAGAATTATCAATATCAACACTACCCAAGGAATCAAAAAGAGTCAGGACTTCCGAAAATTCACCCACCCAAAAAATAATATTTCTTTTATTCATTAGAAGTAATTACAGTGAGCCATGATATATTTCCTTTTCTTTTCCTGGAGCAGACTTTCTTATACACTTTGGTTAATAATGCCTATGAATTGACTTGCAGGATGACCATCTCCTTCAGCATATTGTCAAGAATAATCTTCTAAAACCAATTATAGAAGCTTTTATTAGTAATGGAAATCGATACAATCTTCTCAATTCTGCAATTCTGGATCTTTTTGAGTATATCCGAAAGGTTGTTCTCCCTCTTCAGGCTTTTTGTTGGTTAAAACCATAAATGCAAGTTCTTTTTGATCAGCTATATCTTTTTTTTTTTTTTTTTTTTTTACAGGAGAATCTTCAAACCTTAATCATATACATAGTTGATACTTTCTGGAATCAGCTAGGAAAATTCGAGTACTTTGGATCTGTTCAAGCACTGAAAATTAAATATGAGCAGGTAGATCTCTTTGTTCTCTCTCTCACTTGTACAAGTTTTATCCGGAAATATTTGTTACCAGCTAGTTTGCGTGTATTTGATAGAGCAGCTTTGTATTCAAGAACTCTTGTTATCTGACATTTTGCACTTACCAGTCTCTAGAGACTTGTGAAACTAGAGGTGCTACTAACGTGGTTGACCCAAGAAAGCGAATAGACGAGCGGGCTCTTGAGAAAGAAGAAGAGGATTATTTCAACGACAGGTTGATACTACACTTCTGATACGATAAAGCCATTTCTATTTGGAATTTTATTTTGACCGAGCCCTGCTATTTGACAGTGATGAAGAAGATACTGCATCTGCTCGCATGTCAAATGCCCATGGCCAACAAAGCCAACCGGTCTTAGCAAATGGAGCGAGTGTCAGCTATTCATTGTTAAGGTATTGCAAGCTCTTAAAAGGAGTTTCGATGGTCATCTTTTCCAATATCATTCTGTCATGTTTCATTTGTTTGTCTTTGTTTTGTAGACCGGGATCTGGTAGACTGGTTGACTATGATGATGACGATGAAGAAGAAGATTACAATCCACCGTCTAGGATTAAAATAGAGACTTCGACATGTGAAACCAGAACTGCAGATTCCTCCCTAAGATCGAAACGGAAATTTATTTCTAAAGAGGAGATTGAACTGACAAAGAACCCTAGGGTAGATAGAAAATTGAAAGACAGTGACACTGCTGCAGCCTCTGCAACATTGAATCATGCATCTCTGCCCCGGAATAAAGTTACAACTACAATCCATGTTACTGCACGGACCTCCGAGGGAAATGACAGCAGCTCAGATGAAGAAACAAATGTTGACAAGGAACATGCAGTTCCAAGGAGCTGTTCCAATTATTTGCCCAACAATTCAGGCTCTAGACAATCGAGTGGAGAGGATTGCCCATTGATACCCTCCAATAGTAACAGCACATCAGAGATGGCCATAAATGGTGCCAATGTTACTGGGTCGGAACCTTATTCAGTGCGATGATTGTGGTCCATCCTTGAATTATCTGATTCTTGTCTGAACGAGAGGAATGATAAGTATCTTTCTGGTTGGCAATCCTCTTTGAAAAAAAGACGACATGCATATTCAAGAGAAGTGAAAGCGGGGTGTCTTTTGAGTGTCGGGTTCCCCCATCCATCAATGGGAAGCAAAGAATGTGGCATTCCTATACCTAGGCACACATCCTAATTCAGTGTCATTGGGTGATGCGACCCAGCCTTCCTCGGATAAATTATTCATTGCGGGCAATAGACACGATCTTGTTGCTCCTGTAAAACAAACATTAGTTTGGATGCCTCTTCTTTGTATCTATTAAAATTTTGTTTTACGTCGTATGGTACCGGGGGAGGGGGATCCTCATTTTTTCCCAATTTTAGGGGGTTATGAGGCATAGTTTACGGTCGAGTTCTTTCTGGCATTTACATTTCCATTTTTCCTCTTATTAGGAAGAGAGGGAGGGTGGGTTGGATCATTAGAACCATCTGGGGATTAAAAAATTATTATAATCACGTCTACAAGTGATGGGGGATGTAATTTCATTTGTTGACTGCCACTGTATATTAGATTTGGTTTGAGTAATTATGGTGCATTTCACATCAAGGGAATTGGATATTTGGATAACCCAAGGATACTTGTAACACTTCAAAATCAATCCAAGTTGTCACTTCCATTGCGTCTGTTATTGTTATAATTGGGGAGCAGGTTTGCTAATTTTGTTGTATTGTGAGTGTTTGGTTTGATAGATTACTAGAGAGTTTTGATACGTAAGGACTAAGGAACTATCCCTCAACTATGTTCCGTGCTTTACATGGTTCAAAGCAAGGTTCAAGGGGGTATCGGGTGAATCGATACTATTTGTTTTTAGTTTTCTTTTTTTTTTTCTAAAATCGGTTCAGGGGGGCTGGTTTAGGTCTTCTTCATCCTCCGAATCGGTCAGACTTTTGATACACTCAACTATAGGGGCGTATCAGTGGGGTTTTGGGCGATACGTGTCGATACTGTGAACCTGTATCCATTTTTAGGGTCATTGAAACATTAATTACTGAGAGATAAGGGTACCATTTTCAAAAAAAAAAAAAATATAGGGATAGGGTACCCATCCTCGAATTGATTGTTGAGATAAGGGTACCATTTCCTTTTTTTTTTTTGTTTTTTTGTCGGCAACTGGCATCTATCTACGAATTAACCGACTCCAAAAGAATAAAACCGAGTATTGATTGTTGAAACACAATTGTGTATTGCAAGCATAAATACTTTGATCAATGTTCTCATTCAACGATGACCAGCTTTTTTTTTATTTGAAGGCAACGATGACCAGTTAAATTCATGTTATCACCGTCTATTTAATATAATAATAAGGGTAAAATATAAAAACCTCCCCCAAGTTTTCTGACAATCATAACATCCTCCCCTATCTTTTCACTTTAAGTAGTATTCGGAAAGTGCCGACCTAATGCGTTTATTTTTTTAAATACCTATTATGCCCTTATATCTATTAATTCAGATATAGATTCATTAAAATACCACAAAATACTATTCATCTTATTCTCCAAAAACTAATAACTAGAGGTGCCAAGACAACCTAACAGTTCATCCCTCCATCGTTTCAACTCCCTCCCCAGAGTTTTTACTTATTTCCCTTATCTTGAGCCAAGCATCCATGCATTTCTTATGATCAGTGGCCAAATCATCCTTGCAAGAAAAACCTAGATTCAATAGGAATTTCAGATTCCTCATTAGTACTATTTCGATCTCAAATGACAAACCCTGCATTCCTTGTCCACTTTAACTGAATGCACATAATTTCTGGTGCACCACTTTACAAATCTACGTTGAACAATTCTGGTGGTGGCCCGAAGTCCCCCAATCTTGAGATCAAACACGTTGAAGAACCTATGCTCTTCATACGACCCACCGGTAGTGGAACCGAACTGGGAATGCCACAATCTTAGCAACGGAGAAGCAGATGCTTCCCTCACTCTTTGCGTTGCTTGCTACAACAAAACAACGATGACCTCCTTCTTCTAAATCAATATGGGAGTGAGGCTTCTCTATGGTTGCCATTTCCAAAACCCAAGACCTGAAACTTCATGTAAAAACAGTGCAGAGCTTGAGAGTCTACCCCAAAGGGAGAGCATGAAAACCCTCCAAGTTTTAAGTTTTGGAGGTCTCGTCCTTGAACACTTGTTGCTTTAGGAGCAGGATAAAGGCAAAAAGAAAAAAAAATCCAACAAAATCTGGAATAAAAAGATGTGCAAGAACTTCAATTTCTGCAAAGAATAAATATCAAGCCATAACTAGAGGATTTAAGGGGGCAAACTTCAATATTTTTTTGCATAATTTCATGGCGTGCTCTGTTCTGATTTCTTAAAAAGAAATTTGGATTTATGCAGGACACAAACATTGTAAGATGAGAAAAAGTAAAAAAAATGGGATTTTGTAGAAGATTTAAGGGAAATGTTTCAGAGAGAAAGATAGCACCAAATATTTGTATATATTTCCATGGAGTGATGGAAATTTATAGCATACCAAAATCGGGATGAATTATGCTATCATTATATCATACTAATCACAAGGAACAAGTAAATTATCATTATACCATACCCATGGCTGTTTAGAAGAAAGGCCATGGGTCTATGATGGAAATGGCAAAGAGTAGGGTAGAGTTTAGATAGATAGATAGATAGAGAGAGAGAGAGAGGTGGGGATATTTTACATAGTAGGGAGGATGATGTGGTTAGACAAAAAGAAAGATAGAAGAGAGGGAGGGAGGGAATTGAAAAGATGGGGGGATGAACGATTAGGTTGTCTTTGCTGCCTCTGGTTCTTAGTTCTTGGAGAAGAAGATGAATAGTGTTTTTGGGAATATTTTAATATCTTAATTATTATTATTCACTTCCATTAGAGAGAGTGCATCCCCGATCATTCACTTTGTCTAACAAAGGGGCTGATCCTGTCACTATGATCACCCACTCAGATGAATTCTCAGATTGTCTCAACATACCTAGGTTTTGACCCCCTCTAAGGATCTCACTGATTGGTATATCAAAAACAGCCCAATCCAACACCTAGTGAAGTATCATAATCGAGTCTAGGGGTCAGGTGTAACATTCCGGTTTTGCCCAACTATCTCCAGGGCAATACTGGAATTCTGGTCCGGTTTAGGGTTTCAAAAAACCCAAACTACATGTACCTCAGGTTTAACCCTGGCAGCTGAGACAAGCCACCCCAACCAAATTGGCGGCACATCAGTGTCAGCCTTGATAGGATAAATCTCCCCATATCTATCCAACGGCTGTGAATATTCTAAACTAACACGAGTCTCATATGTGTCCAGTTTAAAGGTATTACACAGAAATACACCATAATAACATGAATCAAATATGTACTTTATTCATTTACATTAAATGTCATAATGTACATCATTTTGATTGGAGCTAAGGGCATACACTATCTAACAGAACATGTATCTAACACCATCCATCGCTTACACCAAAGAAACAAACAAATACCAGCTACATCATAAGCTACACTATGAGCCCAACTTTCAATTATAAGCTACATTATAAGCATACACATGCTATAAGGTATAACACATCAGATATTGAAAATTAGCTACACCATAGGCTAGGGCCCTACATTCAATTATAAGCTACACTATTAGCATGCATAGGCTGTAAGGTATAGTATATCAGAGATTAAAACCCAGCTATAAGCATACACAGTATACACTATAAGCTACATTATAATCTACACTATAAGATATACTATGAGCTACATTATAAGCTACAATATAAAAGCTACATTTTAAGCTACACATATAAGCATACACAGGCTAATTAAATTGACATGGGTTTCAGGTAGGCACATAGGTTTCAGGCTAACTCATATTCCCATGTCAGAAATCAAGTGGGAACAATGTTTCAGGCATTTTGTCGAGCACCTAAATACTGTTACTCACGTGTGGATCCCATGTGTGCATTGAAGTAGACAAATGGGTCCAACGCTGCACAAATGGTCCCCAATGTCATTTTACTTGGACCAAATGGGGGTTTGTTAACAAATCTCTATGTGTGGTCCCCCATAAACCATCTATCTCTATGTGTGATCCCCCATAACCTAGCTAAGAAGAATTGAAAAGGAGAAAAAACCTTGACCATACCTCAGTGTAGACAGGCTTTTAACATGTAGAGAATCTACAAAATAGAGAATCAATAGTAAGATAAAGCTCATAGAGAAGAGTGGCAAAGGACAGATGTCATTCTTCCATCGAACAAAAAGATTAGAATATGGTTTACTATTTGGGATTTGATGGTATCGAACAAAAATATGAGAATAGGGTTTGCTATTTAGGGTTTGCTATCACAAGCCTTGTGCCGCCATACAATCTGCTGGAGTATGCAACGAATAGTCGTTGAAGAGGATATGTCCCTTCTGTGTTGCACTCGAACACCATTAGAGGTTTTTAGGAAAGGTTTCTAAATGGGCGATAGACTTTTAATTGATCCATCTTCTATTCTAATAAAAGGGTAAAAAAGTAATTTGAACATTGTCCGAAACCTTATTAGAAGGGTAAAAACGTAAATTCAAGATTTCTGTCCAGACTTAATGATGATGGTAATTGTCAGAAAACTTAAGGGTAGTTTAAGACAATATATAAATACTAAGGGTACAGTTAGTCAATTTCGCAAACAATAAGGGTAGTTTAAGAAAATTGCCCTAAACAATAAGAACAAGCCAAGATACAAGACGATACGTCCAACCTGTATCGATATAATTATAAACATTTTACATTTCAAATTTCAAAATGCAAATTTCTCAAATAATTCAAATAACCAATTTAGAAGAAAAGAAACATATGAAGAATCATCCATATCATTGGATATTAGATTTATGGTCATTCATTAGTTTAGAAGAAATAAAAGAACTTAGTTAATTTGATCTATGCAAAAAAAAAATCAAAAGAAAATAAACCCATTAGGAAAAGAAATGAGAAAAATAACAAACATGGGATGCTATATTTAGAATAATTAGAAAAAAAAATACTCATATGATATATCCAATCGAAACTAAGAACTTAATTGGCCCTTTTTGTAGTGAATTCTCTTAAGACACTAAGAGAAACTAATAAAATTTGATTTTCCCTATTGGTTTTTCATTGTTATTCTTTTTTATTTATTTAGCCCATAATTATTAAAGTGTTTCTTCCATATATTTTGAACTATAAAAATGCATAATTTTTTTGCATTAAATCGTTAAATAATCATTGACACTTGAGGCTTACGCCTTTTTATGCCTAAAGTTACGCCCCACACCTTGAGGCTTAAGGGTCATGCCTCATTCTAACAAAGGCTTAAGCCTCATATCAAAGTTGTAAGGTTTACTTGAGGCACAATCAATATGTCTTGTCTCAAGGCGTAAGCTTCATAACACTCTTAGATTGTGATGATGGGTGATTTGGCCCGACCTCGTAAAAGGGGGACACGTGGATGCGGCCTGACTAATAGATGACAGCTCAGCATGACCAGCCCGCAGCAGAACGATCTCGGGTACCCATCTACCCCGGGCTAAAATGACCTTGCGACAAGGTCGGGACTTGAAGGCGTTAGCTCGGGGATACTGACGTGCCACTGTGAGGATCCCGAAAATCCTTCCAACGGTTCCCGGACTTCACGGG